TGTGGAAGAACCAAGAAACCGAGTCAGCTAAGCATCCCAAACGAACGAAACCGTTCACTTTGGATGACCTCATCACCTCTCACGGGCTCCGCTTCCGTGAGTGGCGTTGTGCAGTCGATGCGTTGTCGCTGCGCAGTTTTCGCTGGGAAGGAGCCCAAACAGGCGAAGATCATGGTCGCCCCTTTTTTAACTCCCGCCAGAATGTGGCTTAAAGCCAAGGGATGGCGATTTTCTTCAAGCACTCCCGACTTCTAGTGAGAGGTGAGCACAGTTTCCAGTTTGTGAAGAAGCAATACAGCCCTTTGAAGACGCCCTGAAAGAGCACTTCCATTCTTGAGCGCTGACATGAGGCTTGACGGGGGGAGAACTTGAGATTTGATCAGCCAAAGTCGCTGAGACGCACAGCGAAGCTGTACCACTGGAGCTCGGCCTGAATGGGTACTCAATGAACACATGTGAACACCTGCGGCCTTTTCTTGTTGAGGGGGAGAAAACCTTGCAGGTGATCAAGTGCAATCTCTCCACAATTTAATCATGCCCAATGGTGCTTCTTCGGTGCGCCTATGTAGCCCTTCAACCGAAGTTTCTGGCAGAACCTTCTCCCCCGCAGGCAGAGCTCGGCCCAGACCCTTCCAGGAGATCCCCCTCCGCAAAAATCCGACGCGCAGATCCGTCTGAGAGCGCCCTGGGTTCGGGGAGCGCCGTCGGTCGCTTGTCAGATGTGCCAATGTGCTCTTGCACCCCGCAAGAGGAGAGCAACAGGTCATGTAAACTCTGGATTCCTTTTCACCCCGGCAGACCTGAAGAGGTTTAGTATGTCTTTGAAGATACTAGCAGCAAGAGGCTACTAGGAACGGTCTTTGAAGCTACTAGTAGCAAGGACGCTACTATAATTACTATAGTAGGTCTTTGAAGCTTCTTAGTAACAAGAAGCTAGTATATATTTTTACAATCAATTTTTTGGGGTGTTGAAATACAATCAAGAGTTTACATTGTCTACATATAAGCCTCAGGTCGTGGAGGCCAGGATTTGGGTTTGGGCAGGACCACGATCTAGCCTTCTTTTGGATCACCGTTTTGGGGACTGCGATCAGCTTGCGTGGAACCACCGAACCCTTTGGTCTCGGATGGCTGCAACCACCAGGTGCGAGGAGCTCACGGCGGAGAACAAGCGCTACGTCGCCGAGGCGGCCGGACGACGGCGGAGGGGGGGGAACCAGACCCGGCAAATGCTTTCAGAAGGACTTCGGTTCACAGAACATGGCATTTCAAGACAAATTCTTCCAAATGTTACACCCATCTAATGAATGTTACTTGATGTTACTTGACCCATGGATGCTCTGAGACCTACACTCCATCCAAGACCTGAGAACGACCCTCCGTCCGTAATCGGACGGAAGACGACCGCACTGTCCTGGATGTGACCCGTGCCTCGCTCACGGTCTGCTTTGACGAGATCTACCAGGACCATCCGACCAGACCTCTCCGGGATCTCCAGCCACACCCAGATGGTCGGATCGTCCAGGTAGATACATGTTTCTATCCGTCCTGTAACGCACACACACACACACACACACATCTGAATCTCTCCATATGGCCCCCCATGATCTACCGTGCCTTACTACCCTGCACACGACTTCTAGATTTTATCGGGACACATATGTACCAGGACCCTCCAAGAGGTGTCTATACATATGCTCAGAGGTGAAGGTGCCCCAGAACCACCGGGCTTGGAAGGTCCTGGTACAACCAAGAGGATCCGGCTCTCCTTATAGGTTACTTTGCTAGTAATTACAAGTGCATCGCTAGGTAGTAACAAGAAGCTAGTGATTACAATTCTCTTTATTCCCACCACAGATCTCACCTCCCAAGACTTCTCAGGCAGAGGCCTCAAGTGCCCTGGTGGCGGCGCGCGAGGCGGTGACGCAGCAGATGGAGGCGTCTGAGAGGGAAGGATGGGTGGCACCAAGCCGTTTGGGGGGCTGTTGGGTCCCTTTGTTTGGAGACTGAGGGTGAGTCTTGGGGTCTGGGTCAAGAGTCATGTAGAATTTCGGAGATGGTTTTGCTTTCCAGAAGGTCAACCAGATTTTGGGCAAAAAGACAGGTGGTGTTTGTTGCAGTAGAATGTTTCTTTCCTAAATATCTTCCAGGGGTGGTTCCCTAAAACAACACTGTTCATGGTGAAGGGGACGCGGGCTGTGAAGCACATGCCTGGGTGGCAACACTCAGACTCAAAGAACAGGCCACCAATTCAGGGTGAACATGTACATTTCCTCGGGCAAGTATTCTTTCTCTAACTTATCGTGTTCTTCACTCCGTTGTGCACCTTAGGATGTGAACGGGGGGCGAAGCTTTCCATGAGCCATCCATCGTTTTATAGTCTTCAAACAATACAAACTAATCCACTGCCAACATCGTATAAGGCTATCAGAGGAGTGCATGATGTTTAATCTCGATGAATCTTGATCATCATTTGTACCGATTTTTTTGCTTTTCATTAGATAAAAATATAGTCACATTTAGTAGATTCATATATCCTGCAATCAACTACAGTGTACAGTGACCATACATTCCACCCGTCCCGAACACCTTCTCCAAGGCGGCACAGCGCACCATGGCGGAGCTCACCGCATGCCGGGCTTCAGTGGCCCCTTGGAGGACACGCGTCGGGTCATGGCACCGTTTCCGAGCCCGACCAGCCCACCTGGTGGATATCCGACCGTGCCATGACCCACTGCCATGTATGGGTGGATGGTAGCAGATGCCTTCCAGCGCCGAATCCTTTTGTGCTGCTTTGAACATGACGGGATTTCGATGAATTTCGTCTTTCTCTGACGGGTTATCCTTCGACATGTTTTTCTGACCACGACCACAAAGTAGAGGGCTGTTCAAATTGGGAGCTAAAATTTGCTTGGATTTCTACCACGCACACATAGATAATCGATACTTCAGTGGGCTAAGCTTTTTGGGATGACAGATGTTGGAGGACACAAGAACGAGACGAATCTCCAAGAATCACGTTGTTCATCGTTTCTTTTTCTTTTTTTAAACTTTCAAAAAACCCAGCAGTCACTCACGCAGTCATGCCGACACGCTTCCTCATTCGACGGTTCCTCACTCGAGGCCATGGACATCGACGAGCAGCTCAGGGCGGAGGCGAGAGGGGGGGTCTTCCAACGTAATGGCAACAGCGGTTATGGTTGTGGCAAGGTATTCTGCCCAATTCAGGTGTTAAATGGGTTTAGTATTGGGGGCTCGAGCTGGGCTTGATCAAAAAGGCTTAATCCTGTGATATGCATTACTTAATGTAGATTCTTGATGAATAAACCCTCTATATGAAGAGGATGTCCAATTCAATTGGATGGGTTTAGCAATCAAGAGTCTACATGATCTACCAGGGAGGCAGCTGCGGGGAGACGTCCTCGAGTTCCGTGTCGGGGTGCTCCTGTCCCCTCCCTGGATGGGACTCAAAACCGGGGGAATGGCAGCTCCATGGGGGACCCCCAGCTCCCCATCTCTGATGCCTAGAGGATCTTCAGATCGACTGGGTCCGTGGTTGGGGACTCGTTGATGACTCATCCGTTCATGGAATGTCGATCCTCGTGAACTTCCGCCATCCAAGGCTCCCGCCCACCAATAAGATCACAGCAGAGGCATGTCTCTACGGGGCCTTGGGGAGGTGCTTCCAACCGCCCATCCCCTGTTTGCCGAAATGCTTTGCGTGTCTTCTCTGGAAAATCCCTTCCGTGTTGCGAACACACAGGGACGCACCGAACGGGTTTTCACGCGCAGATCCGATGAGACGCGAGGCCATCAGTGCCCGAAATCGCGTCTGTCTCTGGTACGGCGGCAGTGGGCAGATTGCGAAGCAAAAGGGGGGGCTAGTGCCCGGCTCATTGATGGCCGCCTTCGCCTTCGCAAAACCTAGCTAACCCAAAACAAAGAAATCTAACAAGGCCGAGTTCCTTAAGAGGTGCGTTGAAACTTTGAGCCCGCAGTCACAAAGGGGTGCTTAATGGAGGTTAGGGGTGCCCCAACACCACCCCTTCGTGACTCCTGGAGGGTCAGATGCCAGCATCGTCCGTGTTGCTTCCGCATCGTGGGACCTCGGAGGATGCCAGCAAGTCCCGAGAGGTGCCCGACGGGTCGACGCGCGACGCGCGGGGGTCGAAGCGAACGTCGAAGCGAAGGGGGTCGAACGGGGCGTCCTTGTTGGCGAACCATGGGTGAAATATGTCTTCTGGGGAATAGGTTGGATTCCCCTTTTTTTGTTCCGGTTTCTATAAAGCAAAACTAAGTTAAAAGGACCCTGAACCAGGGGGTTGGTGTTTAGATGTGTTTAGTGGATGTTCTGGGCACCCCTGCCCTCCAATAGGCACCCATTTGGAACTGCTGGAAAAAGACATTTTGGTTGAACATACCTCTTGGCTCTCTTGGCATAACTGACTGCAGACTGCTGATGAATCACCCCCCAGACATGTAAAACCTCTCCTGCAGGGCTGGGGAATTGAAGGATCAACACCCTACAGTAAAACTCCGACTCCCGAGCCCTCCAGTCTGGACCTGGGAGTCAGACCTTCTGGAACCCAAGCCCTTTCCCCCTTCCCATTGCTAGGTTCTTTTTTGTTTGGATTCTTATAGGGCTGATGACCCCATCTCAGACGCTGATCCGGAAGGAACACGTAGTCTCCATGAAGCAGACGCTGACCCCATGCGACCGGGGATCCGACCATCGCAGCAGTTGGTGGCCCATCTTGTCATTTTAGAGCAGATTTGAACAAGAATTTAACCCCCAAAATGGCAGACATGCAAAAGACCCTTGAGGATCTGAAATCAGTTTCTGTGCTTTTCTCATAATACATTTATCACACGTGCAAACAATCAACAATTCTGAATCACAGCATGGTGATGGGATGACCAGTGAGTATATTCCCAGCATTGGAAAACGAGTGCGACTGTCACTTTTGCTGGGAATATACTGGTTCATGAGCAGTTGCGGCATGGAGTGCTTGTTCGCGCGTGGAGCTCCTGTCTTGGAGCCTCTGAACTTGCATGGCATCGCTGAATTCATCAAGTCTGGCCGGTGCAAGTCCATCTTTCTGCTGACCGGCGCAGGCACGGCAGCGCGGCAGAGCGGTAGACCTAGGGCGGTCGGTCCAGGAACACTACTTGGCTTTGCTTAAGGCTTAAGGGTGATGTTTATCTTCCCTATGATGGGTGAATCCTCTTCCGGGGAATCTTTTGGCCTGTTTTCCTGGTTCCTCAAGCAAAGCAAGACTAGAACTACTCGCAATGAGAAACCTTCAGCATCACTCTCTGGGAGGCTTGGAGACAGCTTCCCCTGAATCCAACCCCAAGACTTAGCGACTCCAAGACACAGAAGAGAACATCTGCCCCCAAACGGCCCTTTTTTGGGAGCGCGCCATGGCAGGGGGTCTTACAGGACCCGAACCGAAGCCTTTCCCCCTTGGAGCCAAAACGAGTCCCTCCCACCTCGACCGGTCGTGACGACGTCGACCGCACCCTAAGACTCCTTCCTCCGCCAAACCCCACCGGGTCGGTGACGACCCGTCCACGTCGGTCCGTCGGTCGAGACACCTCGTCCCAGGTGTCTCGACCGGTGCCGGCATCCCGGACTTCCGTTCGCCGGGCGGGATGTACGACTCGCTCCGTCCCGAGCTGCTGACGGCCACGGAGAAGCAGCGCAAATTGATGAGAAGCGACCCAGTTCATGTGGTGACCAAGGAGAGGGTTGAAACGAAAGGGAAGGACAAAAGGAGTCCTGTTTTGGAAGTTGTGAGGTTGGGAGGTGAAAAGCTCGAGTTTTTTGGGCATTTTATGGGAGTTGCAGAGTAGACTGGTAGACGACCTGGCTTTGTAGCTCTAGATTTCGGAAGTGCCATCCAAACCAGGAGATGTTCTATCAAAACCAGTTCCCCTACATGGAAGTCCGACGACCCTTCATTCTTGGAACTCAGAGTCAACAGTGGAAGGCTACCATTTCTCATTGGTTCATGAAATTTCTGGACGAGGAACGCCTTCTCCAGCGAGTCTTTACGCAAAACATTGATGGCTTGGACTACCAAACAGGCATCTCCCGCGAGCGAGTGACCAATGTCCACGGGAGCATTGCGAATGTGACTTGTGAAGGTTGCAAGCGAGAGATGTCCTTCGATGCCTTCTGCGATGAACTCCGCAAGAATATCAAAGACATCTACGGTGTAGACCCCACGGCTCCTGAGACCTCCACGCACATCCCATGCCCTTCGTGCAAAAGGCCCTTGGTGAAGCCCAGTACGGTCCTTTTCGGGAGTAGTTTGCCCGAAGCCTTCTTTGACCAATTGCCCAGCCTTTCGACGGCCGACTTATTGATCGTCGCGGGCACATCGTTGGTGGTGTCTCCGGCCAATTCAGTCGTGCAACATGTTCCCCGTAACTGCCCCAGGCTCATTGTCAACAAGGAGCGTGTAGGTGAGGACTTGGGTATTGTATATGGCACTGCCGCGGAGCGAGACATATGGAGTGGTGACATCTCCTGTGATGAGGCATTTTTGGAACTCATAAAGCTTCTGGGGTGGCAGGAGAAGCTTTTGAAGATCCAACATTTGCTGCCAGAGGGCAACAAGGAACTCCTCAAGAAGTTGTGAGTTGTGAGGGTATGATGATAATTTCAATATATTTCAAGGGCTTAGCGCCTCACAGAAGCTTGAGGTTTTCTTGGACCGACTTATGTACAGATGGCAGGATCCAGGAAAGAAGCACGCTCAAATCCACCAAAAGCAAGTCCATCACACCAAGCAGATCTACCCACCAAGAGTGGGACATCAGTTGGACCATCCGTATACCATCCTCAATGTTGATGGTTCATGAATCAACCCACCTAGAAGGTCACACCTCCGGGGCCTGGGGTGTTTGATTCAACCGTTTTCCGACAGTCCTTCGAGAAGAAGCTTCGGAACCGACCGGACCCGAGCGGTCGAGCGGTCGCTTCTGCGAAAAGGCTCCGAACTCATGGAGGGTTTGGTCTTCGTGGACTTCGTTGGCCTTTTTGGGCTAGGAGCAAGAAGCTACGAACGGGGCTCCTGGCCTTACTACTAGTAACAAGAAGCTACGAACGGGGCTCCTGGCTGGCAACGCTACGAACGGAGCAAGGATGCTTTCAGATTCACTTTTCTGCCCTGAGAATGTGGGCCCTTCTCCACAAGGGTTTTTCGCTGGAGCCGAACACCAGGGCAACAGCAGGACATCCCTGAAGAGCTTGTCTCAGGCACCGGCATGCGTGGGCGGGACATGTGGATGGGGAACCGGTTTAGAGGATCTGCCACGAAGAGGAAGAAGCGTGGTGCTAGGCCTTGAACCTCATGAGAAGTTGGGAATGGACATGTAGAGATCATTAGAGATCCCCCGCATAGATGGTGTCACGATGTCCCAACGATTTTTGAGCTGGAGATTTGCTTTGTCCATCTATTTGGCACATATGCACTCAACTACTATGGGTGGATGAGGTTCCAAAGTAGAAACAAGGTGATTCAAGATTATATGACCTTTTTGTTCCTAGTGCGGTTCCTCAGCAAAAGCTCCTGGACCTTCTGAATGGCCATAGACGATCAAAAATGGCCGCAGAGGATATGTGAGAGAATCCAACTGAGCTTTCGTACTGGGGTCGACCAGTTCAGCCCTGCATACCCACTTAACTTTACAGGCACAGGCTGGGTTTGGGTGTTTCCAGTTCCCCAAATGGTGCACCCGGATGCTCCCGGGCTCGATTCTCGATGGATTCCTAGACAACATTTGAGACTCGACCCGGGCCAATTGTCAAAATCCAAAGCCATCCAAAGATGACCACTCCAACCCACCTAGAACTTTTGATATTATATATATATTATAAGATATACACATTAGACAACATTTGACATTGATATATATATACCCAGGGCATCCAGTTACCCCTATGTACGGAACCAGTCCAGTTACCGGCCTGCCAGGTAACCAAGGCTCAGTTCTGGAACCGGCCTATGGAATTGTCCATCAGGATCAAGTTTCATCTACACGGCAACAGTAACCTCCAGATGACACACTTGATCGTAAATTTCAAAGCCTCTACACGCCATGTTTTGCATCAACACATGTCGACATTACAGTACTGTCATGGCATGTGAGGGTGTTCAGAGACGCACTGAGTGCATTCATGACGATTCATGAAGCGTGCGTACGCCGCATGGCTTCATCAGAAGAACAAAGGTGCCCGCCCCTTCTGCGACGGGATGGGAGTTCAGCGTGTTGAAATCTTGAGGGGCGGAGTGTCGGTGGAGGGATCTGGGTCTCCTGCTTTATGAGGCTCTGTGGGACCCATCTAGGGAATTGAAAGGATCACACGAGAACCCCTTGCATCGCTTCACATTTTTCTTGTGCACGGCTTGGCTGCCATCAGCATTGCAAAGCACGCTCGCAGCACTGCCTCATCCTGCAATCGGCCAAACAGCCATGTCCGTGGGAGAGGAACAAGGAGGGTTGGATGAGTTCCTAGATGGAATTTATTCATATTACTTTTAAGCTGATGTGGTCTCCCTTAACTCGTGATTGAGTGGGTTTCCCGCCGGCGTTTGCACGATCGATCAATTATAAGGCTGGACTTCCTCAAATGCGTTTTGGAGGATTGGAGCAAGACGCTTGGGGTGCCAGATTTGCGGAAAGACAAGAACCACAATCTTGTTGGTGGTGCTGGCCTGGATCCAACAGAGGAATCTGTTGGGCAGCTTTTTGACCCTATCTCCATGATCATGGCCCAATTTGGTAAAGCCATCCCTCTTGGATCCAAGTTTGTTGTTTCTGGGCTCATAACGTGAAATGTTTTCCTGTTTGTTTTGCTCGTGCCAGCTAGTAATGATCCCAAGAGAAACCGTCCCTGACTATATATTGTGCAGGCTGCTTTCCTTTACCTTGACCAGCTACTGGGCCTACATCCTGAAGAAACACGCCAAAAGGATCTGCAAGCGTGGGCAGAATATCAAAGCAATGTCCTGCGCTCTCACTGCACCTACATGATTCGACTATGGAGAAAGTCGGCTTTCAAATCCAAGTCATTTGGTTAAAACAGCACTATGTCACTATGTCACGTCTATATTTTGTTTTTAAAACTGGTTGCTAGAAAATTAAAATACCAACACAGGTTGAGAGGACACAAAAGGGTCCACACTACGATCTAGTGTGGACCCTTTTGTGTCCTCTCAGCCTCTCTAGGTAGCCACGGGGGGTGATGGTTCTTCCCACTTGCATTGCACCAGGTCAGAGACGACTCAGCAGCTTAAGGACATCCTTAACATGATGGAAGCTCACGCGGCTCCGGCTACCGCGCCCCAGCAGGTAAATGGGGAAGCTCTGCAGGAAGAGCCCATGGAGACCGCAGAACACATAGAGTCTTCGGGATCCATGGATGTGGAATCCGCACCAATGGGGTCCCATGTCGATCAAATGGAGACCCTTCCAATGGACTGGCCCCCGCAGCCTCAGTACCCAAAGACGACATTGAAGAGATGGTGCACACCAAAACCCGCTAAGGCCTGGTAACACGACAACACACGTTTCCAGTCCTTCGAAAGCTGACCATCAGGAGATGAGGCGTGAGCTTCCACAGGAAAACTTTGGATCCCATAATGCACTTGTTGTACGTGGGTTGGGGAAAGCGTTTTCTTTCCTGTGGAAGCTCACGCCTTCGTGGCTGGCAACTCTACCTCAGTCGAGACACACACACACACAAAGTGCCTGCACTCTCACAGGTGCCTGCAGAAGCCGTGGAAGAACATCCTACAGGTAGTGGCATGCAACAGGAGGTGCCGGTGACAGATCCAGAATTACTTCAATGGAATTCGACTCTAGGTATATTCAAAAGGTCAGTGATCATCCTGTTCAGAAACAAATCCTCCGCTTTTGCTTGAGCACCCCCTTATGCTGATGCTTGTAAGTGCAGGTGCCCACTGAAGAAGTTGCACGTGGAGACTCTCCCATGGAGCCACAAGATGAGGCATGGTGGTAACCTCTTGACTGGCCCCGTGATTCATTTTTTGCAGGTGCAGCCTGGAGATCACGGAGCTCAGACTGAAAACCAAAATCCTGGTATCCAAGAGGAGGCTTGAGCTCGCTCTAAAGCTTCATTGTTGAATTTTGACTGTACTTGCAATAATACATGGCAAGTCTTTATCTAGCTGCCTGATCAGGAACCTCATGAGACTGAACATCAATCTGGTACAGCAGAGGCTTGTCCTTGCTCCTCACAGTATAGAATGCGGAATTATGTTTTTCATCGCAGGTGCAGCCCGATCAAGAAGTTCAGTTTGTTCAACATCCTAGCGCTGAAGAGGAGGCCTGAACTTGCTCCTCACAGCAAATTGTAATAGATATTTGTCGCAGGTGCGGCCCGATCAAGGAGCTCATCAGTCTGCTGAACTTCCTGCTACTGAGGAGGCACCCCCACTAGAATTTTAATTTTATTTTGTGAGGTTGCTACTGCACGATGTTGAATCAGTGGAAGAAAAATCACGGAACCATGGCAGTATGCCTGTGCCCAACTGTTCCCAAACCCTCAGCCGTTCAGCCCTTAAATTCAATATGTGCTGCAGGCGTCTGGAGGAGAAGATCGACATGCTTCTGGACAAGAACGCCCCGCTGTGGAACATATGGTTGCCAAGGTCCAACAATCAGTTGAACAATATAGACATGTTTCATCATGCTTAGCCTCACAAAGAAAAAATCACGCCAGAAACCCCCCATGGAGCCAGAGTTGGGTATTGAGGTTCGTCTCAACAGTCCTGATGTAAAACCGATCCTGAGGGCTGTGCACATCCTAGCCAGCCAGCGCAGTGCATCAGGCTGACCCAGCTGGCCAACAAGATGCAGGTGGGCAAAAGGCCTGTCGCTTCTGCTCTTTGTCAATTGACTTCCAAATTCAACGAGCTCGGTCAATATCCGAAACGTGTTTAAAGATTGCAAGAGTTAATATCATGGGAGATGAAACAATCTTGCAAAAGTATATTTATTAATCCCGGCACAAGCGACGAATCCGCCGCCTTGTCCACAGGAATCGCTTCCGGCTGATCAAGAAGGTAATGATGATGGTGAGGTGCGCATGATGGGTCTTAAGGGCGTCCATAAGCATCGAGCCCATGAGACGCAAATATAGTTTTATGGGTCCATGCACGCGCCACATATGTGTGCAGGATGCACCACATAGGCGGGCGGCGTCGTGTTACTGTTTGTGTCTCGTGGATTCTTGACTGCATGTGTTGTTTCTTCCAACCATGCCAGCAGGCAACCTTTGCTGGCAAACCCGCCTAACTTGACTGAAGTCTTATCGGAAGTGTTCCCGCATGTGAACGACATCAAATTTAGCGATGACATGCTCAAAGAACAATCAGCACTGAAGCTACGACCGCATTCAGCAAAAAAGAAACGGTAGGGTCATGTTTACGTACGGTCGTTGACGTCGTATAGACATGTTGTTTCATTCTAAAAAATACTGCTGAACTGTAGGCGTGCTGCTGCAAAGGCTGCTGCAAAGGCAGAAGCTAAAGCCGCTGGCCGGGGTCGCGGCAGAGGCCGTGGCAAGGGTGCTGGCAAAGGGGCAGCAAAGGAGCAAACCGAAGAGCCTGCG